TAAACATTTTTTTAAATTTTGATTTCCCCACCTTGAAGACCGCCTTCCACTTTGGTACATCATGGATTTGGGGAGCTACCAATTTATTGGTAAGGATCACAGCTCCCAAATCCCGAATAACGCCCCGAAGAGCCTCATGGGTAGCCGGACAGCGTGAATCATCCCAGCATCGAATCATTCGTACGTAAGAATCAACCTAGAAAAATACAATATGCTATCGTAATCTACAAAAATTACTGATTTTTTTACCCACATCTTGTACAATCATAGCGCCAGACTTCCGTCGAGGATCAGCAATAACGTAGTCAAGCGAGGAGTACGGTAGTGTAACGATTTTGTCCGTGACTGCGACCAGTTGTATTCCAGATGAACCGGCTACTTCGACAGGGACTGTCCAAAGCTCATCGGTTAATTGCTGAAAGCAGGTGATTTAGTTACAGTCATGTCAGGACTATATTCCTCATTTCACGAGCAAATACACAAATTAACATAATTCGATGAGAGCAGTAGCTCAAAATCAATGGGAAATGGTAACTGCTCTTATTATTATTGGAAAATGCTCACTTTTCATCGATTTATCAGTACTATGTCGTAATTACCGTGACTCACCTCAAACTGAAGCGCTAGTGACTTCACTTGCAAATGCAGAATTGGACGAGTTTTCCGCGTGAACCATTCCGATAGCATTTGTCCTGCAACGAACTGATTAGCTTAACACCGGAATCTAATCAAATCAACAATTTACCAAAAATTTCTCGAAAATTTTCGGCCGGACTAACCTGCGTAATAATTGCCAGTAGAATCTACGAGTGCTTGCTGCCAGTCGGCTATACTGGTTACAGAATAGGCGAATTTTCGGAAAACCTAGAAATTTCATCATTTCAGTGGTACGTAGAAAATAATACGATAGCAAAGAGAAGAAAACTGACGAGTTTCAAGACGTTGGTCATGGTATCCTGTCCGAAAGTCTCATCGATAGTATAGAAAATGGATACAAATCGTTCTGGGCAGGATTGCATAGTCTGAAAAATGAACTGATAATATTGAATCGTAAAGAGTCTTCCAGTCAAACTTTTGAAATGCGCAGTTTTCTAAAATTGCAAGTTCAACCATGTTCTTCGCTTCCACAAACTTTCGACTCAAAGTTTTCTTGACAGGAGGTCTAAGGAATGAAAAACAGCGATTGTATGCAAAGCTAAAACTACACTCAAGCAGGGATTTCCAGTAAAACAGGTATTATAAGTTTCCTCGACAAAGGAAATTTTCAGAATGTCAAGAAAGTTCCCAACTTTTTAAATAATTACTTGAACATTAAGCAGAAGTTAACTTCTCATTTCAGACTTTCCGTATTAGTTATACAAAAAGTTTTTGGAATTCCCATGGATCAATAGTTTCTTTAGAATACTTTCTAAGAGGACTCAAGCAAACAACTCTAACTGTAAGTAAATCATAGCCTGTAATTTCGGGAGTTTAGCAAACAACTTACCAGCTTTTTTCTATTTGTGCTATTTGCCAGCTATTTTCAGAGACTTTGCGATATTTGGAAAAATAATTTCAACGAAGATTTGCTAAGTATGAAATAGAACCGACACCTACCTCCAAAGATCGTAGCATTCGTGGCTCATCGCGTCCCTCAGCGGTCAAATCTCTTGGCCGAATCGCTTCAATCTCTCCGGCTCGTGTTTTGTTCACAATCCCCACTTGCTCATTCAGTTTCCATTCCAGATACGTTGTCAGTGACTCCTAAAAATGTTCTCGCATTATTTCTGTCTTTTCTAAGAA